GCTTTAGAAAACGCTTCCGCTGCACGTCGCACTGCCGTCGTTTAACATTCTGAAAAACTTTATTAAAACCAAAAGTTATACTCTATTTAATCCCTCGTGGCAATGGAGAACATACCAGCAACCACATCGCCGCAGGAAACCGCACACTCTGAAACAATCACCACAGCAACACCGCAAAGTGCAACTCCGCAGGAAATCCCGATAGATGAGGCTGACAAAATTGGCCACGCCACGACAATAGGCCTTGAAACGCCCACCGCTGGTACCGCGCCTAATCATCACGCATCTACGCCTGTTCAGCACTCAGCACAATTTGCGTCAACGAGTATTGCGGGCACTTCTGGGAATATGGCGACATCTTTGTATGGATCCTTGCCGCTTTACACACTTATCGGTTCCCACACTATGGAACCGCCAGGGACATATTTTCCATTGAACACGCGCAATGTCGTCCCTAACCTCGCCGACATGGTGACATCTCCTTACGTCACTTCATCGAATTGCATGACGACCATGCTGCCCAACCTAACCTCAAACGCGACTTTATGCAATATAGCACCAGCCTTCCAGCAATTCCCTTCGTACACTGCTATGCATAACCCGCCAACATCTGTCAGTTCTTCAGGATTTTCTTATCCGAATTTTATACCCGCTCAAACTATATCGTCTGGGATGCATTCAAATGCTACCCCAACATGTAGGAGCACATTGGCTGCCGATGTCAACTTAACTGCGGCGCATATAGCTAGTCGCCAAGTACTCACAAAAGACCTGCCAACATTCTCAGGGCGACCTGAGGACTGGCCCTTGTTCATAACTAACTATGAACAGTCTACAATCCGGTGCGGGTTCAGCGATCAGGAAAACCTCATCAGATTGCAAAAATGCCTTAAGGGCCCAGCTTTAGAAGCAGTTCACGGTAGACTTATGGTGCCGTCTACGGTTGGCTTAGCTATTAACACTCTCCGCATGTTGTATGGTAGACCAGATGTTATCCATCAAGCGATGCAGCGTAGACTGAGGGAAGAGCCATCGGTCAAGCCGGATAAATTAGAAACTTTAGTTGCGTTTTCGTTAGCCGTACAAAACTACCGTGCGACAATGCAGGCCGTAGGCTTAACCGACTATTTAAATGATCCGGTTTTATTAAATGAGTTAGTAGCTAAGTTACCATGCAGTCAGAGGCTGAGCTGGGGCCAGCAGTGCATGTCGCTGAGCCGCGCTGACATTGCTGCTTTCGATGAGTGGCTTTTTAGTCTTGCTATGTGTGCGAGCCAGGTGACGTCTCTGCAGCCATCAGCGGTAGCGTCAGATCACACCAACAATGAAATGAAAAAGGGCAGGCGCGAAGCGCATAAAGCAAGAATTATGGTACACGAAGTTATGCCAACCGACAAGGCAATTAACTGTGTGAAATGCAGGGCAAATCACAAGCTTTCTGACTGTAATGCGTTTATCGCGCTCTCCAAAAATGACAGGTGGAAATTTATTCGTGAGAAAAGATTATGCTTGCGCTGCTTTAAACCTCATTTCATTCGGCGCTGCACTTCAAAAAAATGCTGTGGCGTTGATAGTTGTAAAATGGCCCATAATCCTCTGCTACACACTACATCATCAGAGGCGATCGAAAAACGGGAGCAAACAACATTATATCACGAACCCGTTACTGTAGCTGACAAAGAACAACAAAGAACACTTTTCAGGTACGTGGAAGTTACTTTACATAGCGATAGCAAATCAATAAATACGTTTGCGCTGATCGATGAAGGTGCATCATGTACGTTAATTGAGTCTGAGTTGGCAGACGAGCTCGCCTTAGATGGGCCAGTAGGTTCTCTTTGTTTGCGCTGGACGGGAGAAATCACTCAAAGCGAAGTACACTCAAAATGTGTTAGCCTCTTTATTTCCTCCACCGTCGTACCTTCTCAAAAGTACAAACTTATCAATGTTCGCACTGTCGCCAATCTCGGGCTTCCCCAGCAATCACTTTTTAGTGACACAATTTTCAATAATGCGCATTTTAAGGGTTTGCCGATTCGACCATATAATCGATCCAGGGCAAGAATTTTAATAGGTCTAGACAATGCAAAAGTGGGGGTTCCTATAGAAATAAGAGAGAATAAAGACTCCAACCTTATTGCCGCAAAGTGCCGTCTTGGATGGAGCATTTACGGGCGAGGTACAATTGACTGTACCGAGCAATCACGGGTTTTGCACACTTGCGAATGCAGTCCATCTGCAGAAGACCGTATGGACCAGCAAATGAAAGCGTTCTTTTCGATTGATTCAACTGGGGTATATGCACCAACCAAGCCTCTCCTATGCAAGGATGATGAGCGTGCAATCAAACTCATGGAAAATAGCACGCGCTTCTGCGCTGCTGAAAAGAGATGGGAAACGGGATTACTTTGGAAACACGATGTTGTCGAACTTCCCGATTCGCTTCCAATGGCAATACGTCGGCTTTCATGCTTGGAAAGCAAAATGGAACGTGATCCGTCTACAAATCGTTTTTTAATTGATATAATACAAGATTATGAGCGAAAAGGGTATGTACGGAAACTAGAAAAAAATTAGATAGAACATAGCGGGAGGTCTTGGTACCTTCCCATATTTACGGTTCTTAATGCCAATAAAAATAAAACGAGATTGGTATGGGATGCAGCAGCGAAAGTAAGTGGTATCGGGTTGAACGACATGCTGCTTAAAGGACCCGATCTGTTGAAGTCTCTCCTGGGCATACTCTTGCGCTTTCGTGAACGACCCTTCGCGGTTTGTGGAGATATACGCGAAATGTTCCATCAGATTAGGATTATAAAAGAGGACCAAACGGCGCAAAAGTTTTTATGGCGTAATGGTGATAGGTCCCGTGATTACGATGTATACGTAATGAACGTTATGACGTTCGGTGCCTCGTGCTCCCCATCATTAGCCAATTATGTGAAGAACCGTAATGCTGAGCGTTTTGCAGATCATCATCGCGATGCCGTGCATGCCATCGTTGAAAATACGTTTGTTGATGACTGGCTTCAGAGTGCTGACACGGAAGACGAATTAGCTACCCTTGCAACTACTGTTCATTGGATTCACCAAGAAGGCGGTTTCCAAATGAGAAATTGGGTGTCGTATTCAAAAGGGGTACTGGCTTCATTACACGCTGAGCACGCTGCTGATGCCAAATGTTTTGAGGAGCCGGAAGCCGTTATTGAGAAGGTACTAGGCATGTGGTGGCAGCCGGTCTCAGATGAGTTAACGTTTTTTGAAAGATTTCCAAAGGAAATTTTCGATAAAAAAACTGTTTTGTCTAAGCGGCAAATATTGCGCACAATAATGACGATTTTTGATCCATTGGGTTTGCTTGGCTTCGCTATTATCCAAGCAAAAATTATTTTACAAGACGTTTGGCGCTCCGGTGTCGGTTGGGACCAACCTATTAAAGAAGAGCAACGCAACAACTGGTTTAAATGGGTGCGACGAATACCTTCTATTAATGGTATACGAATCCCTCGTTGCTTTTCGCTAGCTTTCAAAAGCAAAATCAATGAACTGCACATATTTGTGGACGCCAGTATAAAAGCTTACGCAGCCTTGGCTTACGTGCGTTCAGAGGTAGATACGCAAATATGCTGTACGCTTATAGCTTCGAAAACTCGCGTTGCGCCGCTAAAACCTATCTCAGTGCCGCGGCTTGAGCTATTAGCTGCGGTGCTGGGGCTACGACTAGCTAATTTCATTGAATCCGAACTGTCCATCAAAGTTAGCCGCAGAACTTTCTGGACGGATTCTAAAAACGTTTTATTTTGGTTACGCTCAGACTCAAGAAAGTCTGATTAAACTTTGTAGCACTGAGAGTAGGAGAAATTCTTGAAGGCTCTGTCATTAAAGAATGGAGGTGGGTACCGTCCCGTGAAAATATCGCAGATGAAGGAACCAAATGGAGCGATAACCGTGGCTTTGACGACAACCAACGCTGGTTCGGCGGCCCGAAGTTTCTGCTAGAGGAGGAATCTAGCTGGCCGGTTCTGCAATTTTCAGATGCGGATGACGAGGCCGCGGAGGACCTGCATCACACTGACTTCGATGACACCACAACCATGAACACTTCTGTAATAACGCCTGATGCAAATAGATTTAGTTGCTGGGAGAAGCTACGCACTACTCATCGATTCATACTACGTTTCATACGATTCATAACAAAAGGTAAGCAATGCTCAAAATCATTGGAAGCGTTACTTGGAAAGGACGATTTGGATTCAGCGGAGCTCGCAATAATGATTAATTGTCAAGGGGAAGTGTTCCACGAAGAAATTAGTCGGCTGCGCAATGGTGAGCAAATAAAACGGAAATCCCCCCTCCTCAAGTTTTCTCCGTATTTAGATCCAAAGGGCGTCCTGCGAGTAAAGGGAAGGATTGACGCTGCTGATGGTGTGAGGATTGACGTTAAGCGTCCGATTATTCTTCCACGCGACCACACTGTAACACGACTAATCGTGGACTTCTATCACCGAAAGTTCCACCACCATCACAATGAAATCGTTGTTAATGAGATGAGGCAAAGGTTCTGCATAGCTGCGCTGAGAAGGCTGGTGAAAGAATGTGCTGCCAAATGTCAAACGTGCCGTAATCGCAAGGCTTATCCACGACCGCCTCAAATGGGTGATCTACCTACGGAACGAGTGTCACCTTTTACCAGACCTTTCACCTTCACAGGGGTGGATTATTTTGGGCCCATCGACGTGGCTGTCGGTCGAAGGTGCGAAAAGCGTTGGGGCGCCTTATTTACATGCCTCACCACTCGCGCGATTCATATTGAGATCACGTCGTCTCTGTCTACTGAGTCGTTTCTTCTGATTTTCAAACAGTTCGTGAGTCGCCGCGGTGTACCGAAGCGAATTATATCGGACAACGGCACTAACTTCCGTGGCGCTAGTAGGATGCTTTTAAATGAGATTGAGAAGATATCGTCGGAAGACATAGAGAAAAGGCATCCTGAAATTGAGTGGTCCTTTATACCGCCTGCTTCACCGCATATGGGAGGAGCTTGGGAGCGGATGATCCGCTCAACGAAATCAATTTTAATGGACATTCTGCCAGGTGCAGGCTTGCGTGAGGAGGTGCTAAGGGCGGTTTTAGCCGACGTCGAAAACATTCTGAACTCGAGGCCACTGACCTACGTTCCGCTCGAGTCTGGTGAGCACGAAGCTCTTACGCCAAACCATTTCCTTCTTGGAAGCTCTAGCGGCATTCGTGAGATAACAAGCAACGATAACTCCGCATCTGGACTCCGAAGAAACTACCGAATTTCCAGTCAACTGGCCGACCAATTCTGGAGACGTTGGATTCGGGAATATCTACCTTGTCTTACCAGACGCCCAAAATGGTACCAGCCACCGGCGACTCCAATCAAATTGAATGACATAGTAGTCATCGTGGATGAAAACTCCAAGCGAAATTCGTGGCCTAAGGGAGTAGTGACTGACCTTCATTTTGGTAATGATGGGCAAGCCCGTAGCGCAGTAGTGAAGACAGTGAACGGATTATGTACGCGGCCGATAGTGAAGTTGGCGAAATTGGACATCGAGGCTGAGAAAAGTGTAGTAAACGTCAAGCACGTACCCGCATGAGATTTACGGAGGGGGATGTTGCGAAAGGTCGCGTTGGCAACCCATTTCGCATTTTTTCACATCCTCTTTTTTTTTTTCTATTCGCCAATCGACGCCTGTCAAATATCAGCAAAT